GAGGGAGGGAGGGAGGAAGCACGCATGCACACAGGCAAGCAGGCTAACGCCCAGGAAATTCAAGCCAAGCAGACTCCGATAGCGGGTTCAAATTTTCCTGTGGTGTATTACAAAGCAATCAAGCTGCAACAGGTATTATTCAGCGTTTCTGTGTAACAGATGAGTGTGTATTTCAGCACTGGAGGCAATCAGCCATGCAGGAATGAGCCCTTCATGGTGCTGTTGGAAACATGAGGAGGCAGAGTTGTACAGGAGGTTACAGACTTCAAGCAGTTTACAGACTCAGTCTAAGAATAAAGGAAAAGTTTGAAATATGTTTTCAAGTGTGTTTTGTGTTCTTGATCTTCTTTTAGTCTCACCAAGGTAAAGGATTCAGGCTTTCTGGTAGTAACGCTGTTCAAACATACAAAACAAGGAATCTACGCTTAGAATCTTGGCTGCATCTCCTACTGAGTATGCAATTCTGAACTAGGAAGCCAACATGTTTCATTGATTTAAAAATCACATGAGCTTGGGGGAGGTGTTGTAACCTGGCATACTCTGGGTTCAATTCCAACACTAAAAATTAATATATTAAAATCAGATGAAACATACTACGTTTCAGGAAAGAAAAGTGCTGCTTCTAATCTCATTTAAATACAGTTGATTCACATCATAAAGGACCTTAAAAAACAAAGTCAGGGCTGGGGCTATATGTAGCTCTCAAGAGAGAATGCTTTGTGGAGCATTCAAAAAGGCCTGCTTTCCGTTCCCAGCACCACGTAAAGCAAGCATGGTGGAAGGACACCTTCAATCTCAGCACTTGGGAGGCTGAAGCAGGAGTTCAAGGATGTCCTTGGCCACACAGCAAATTTAAGGTAAGCACATGACACATAAAACCTGTCTCACAAAAGGGGGGGTGCACAGTAAATAAATAAAAAATAACTAACTTTTACTCTTTTTTTAATGCATTATTAGTCAGACCTGGTGGTGCATTCCTTTAATTCCAGCACTTGAGCGGCATAGGCAAATGGGTCTCTGGGAGATTGAGGTCATCTTGATCTACATAGCAAGTTCTAGGTCATCAGGGCTAAATAGTGAGACCCTGTCTCAAAAAATAAATAAAAATTAAAAAATAAAATGTATTGTTAAATTTCAAATTATCACAACAACAAAAAGTCAGTATTTTCTCACAGACTGAGTAAGAGCCACGCCATGCGGAGGACCTAACCTGGACAGAAGTTCCTAAACACCAAGATGATAGCAGCTGGAGACAGAGCAGTTGCCTGTCAAGGTTAGAGAGCAAGAAGAGCATTCATTTACTAACGAGCACCGGCCGGCACCATCAGGATGCACCAGAGCCATGCAGGCGCTTTCCTTCCATTTCCCTAACCAGAAAGCTAGGCATGCATTGTCTTCGTGCATGTTCACACTACCACTTGCAAGACATGACACTGGGCTTCAATCAGCAATATTAACCTACACCGCCCATGACGAGGTAATGGCAATGAGACACTGAAACTTCATTTCATAAGATTTCATAAAACACTGGGTAAATATTTAATTATAGCTTCTCTTGCACACAGATTTAAGAGGTGAGGTCTACCTATACTTTAGAAGTGTTAATGAATCTACTTTTTACAATGTTAGCTATAGAAGTGAGCTGTGCTCTATGGGAACAAGTATAACCTGTCAGTCCACTGGTATACAGCAGTGTGTCCTGAATGCAGTTTCTCCAGGAGGAGATTTAAACTGAACTCTCAGGAGGTGTATGCCCAGACATACATCAGCATCTTCATGAGGAGGGCAGACAGCAGACAGCAATAGGAATACAAAGACAGAGCCAAAGTTAGACCTGGTGATGCACACCGTAATCCTAGCACTCGGTAGATAGAGGCAGGAAGATCAGGAGTACATGACTAGCCTCAGCTATATAGAAAGTTCAAGTCCAATGTCTGGGAAACATTAGATTCCATCTCAAGAAACAAATAATAGCCAGATATGGTGGCACATGCCTTTGATCCCAGCACTCCGGAGGCAGGAGTAGGTGGATCTCTGTGAGATAGTGAGATAGTGTCTACATAGCGAGTTTTAGGCCTGTTGGAGCTATAGGAAAACTGAATCTCAAAAGACCCCCCCAAAAAAGTATGTTGATGTTTCCCTCCAAAGGTGTCATACCTCTAGTGGGGTATGAAGAATGTAATTAATTTTGTCACAGGGATCCATAAATTGTCCTTCAGAGATTACCAACAACTCTACAGATTGTACTTAGTACCTAGTACTCTTCCAAGCACTTAATAGAGATTAACCCCATAATCTTCACGACAGCCATAAAAATTAGATATCATTCTCGCTTCACGATGAAAATGTTGAATCAGAGAAAGGGTGAGCATGGGCCAACAAGATGCTCAGTGGCTAAAGGTACTTGCCACCCAGCCTGACAACCTGAGCTCAACCTCCAGAATCAACATGGTGGAAGGAGAGAACTGACTCCTACAGCCCCCCCAAAACACACAGATAAATGAAAGAAAAAAAGGAGTGAACCTGTTCCCCAAGGTCACACAAGCTAATGACAGCCAGCAGCAGGACTGCTAACACCCCACCATACTGCTCTGTACATAGTGACGTGGCAAATAAGAAGTTACAGTCAGTCCTACTAGAGCACGTGAGGGACACTTCTTGGAGGAATCAGGAAAAACGTGGACTTGAGAATTGTAACTGGTACCAGCAAAGCTAAGTTCCAAGGTCCAAGGTAGCTTCTACTAACATACACACCATGCCCATGAAGACCCACACTCAGCAGAGTTGCGGATGCTATCTGTGCCAGTCACCTTCTGTATTACTGCTATGCTGTTTTGTTTTCATCTCACCCACTTGGATCAGATTCTTCGTTCATACTCCAGAGTCCAAACAACCCCTTCCTCGCAGTCTCTCACGTTCCCTCCTAAGCCCTCTTGACTTCCTCCAGCTTGACACTGCCTCTCTTTACCAACACATCACACATAGTGGCTCTTTGATGCTTTCTCTTTGATGCTACCTCTCCCCTAGTCCAATTACTTTCTTCCCACGGTTTGCTTGCTGAGCTTTTTATCTTAGGTATGTATAAATCTAACTTACCCAGAGTATCTTAAGTAGTGTATGAAACACAGGAAATTTTATCCTCTATGAACACTATCCAATACCCCCACAACATCTTGCATCCGTAGGGGTTTAATTACTGAAACCATCAATGTATGGAAGTCATGTAAACACTTACGGCTTCCCTGATACCTTTCACTTTCCCATCTTGCAAGTCCCTAATGTGGTTTTTGTATCCACTTGTGAAAGACCATTTACCCACTGTCGTGGTTTGAGTGAGAAATATCCCCCACAGGCTCATGTCTTTGAGCACTTCTGTCCCCTGTGGGGTGGATGGTGCTGTTTGGGGCAGTTATGGAACCTTCAGGAGGTGCAGCCTTGTTCAATGACGCATCACGGGGGGAGGGCTTTGACTGTTCTGTTTGCTGTGTGTACGTAGCTGAAATGTGATTTCTCAGCTTCCGCTTCTGCCACCACTTTCTCCACTACTATGAACAGCCAGCCCTCCAGAAACATAAGCCACATTAATCTTTTCCTTAGGCTGTTTTTGGTCAAAGTTCTGAAAATATAAGTAATTGTTTCTCCTGAAAGAGTAAGCTGAACCACCCCAAGCAGGACTTCCGCTTCCCAAATGGACGTTCTATGTTCTATCTAGCTAATTCCCAAAGAATGACAGATATGAAGACTGGGAGGGTAAGCCTTTAGACATGTAGTCTTCCCTCCCCTGCTGTATACATCGCCAAAGAGGACGACTTTGTGTATTGGACTGTGTGAGAAAGCTCTAACCATGCTGAACGGAAGAATCCTTCAGGAAAGCTATCTCTATGAAACACAGCACTCAAAGCTAAAGGAGACGCACACTGGTCATTGAACGCAGTGCCAGGAAGTGACCAGGAAGCTGCCTAGGTCTCAAGCACCTTGAGATGGGTATGTGTTCTTTAGTTCCTTTTGGCATAGTGCATAAACGATGAGCAAGAGAAAGAGAGATGGGGCTAGGGCAGAAAGAGGGGGAGGAAGGGAAGGGGAGAGAGAAATACATTCATAATATAAAGAATTCTCTGTAGGTAAGTTACTGAGAAGATGATAGTAGTGGAGCGCACATAAGTATAACCATAAGCCTTAGTTTAGCAAGAACCACACAGCACATTACAGAGCAGGATGTGTCAGGGGACCAGGAAATAAGCCCTGGTTTTAACTGCTCCAGAGATGTTTCAGCTTTCTCTCTGGAAATGCACGCGTCAGCTTGTTCAATGGAGGAAAGTCAGAAGAAAAGCATGCTGAGTGTGTCACAACACAAGGAAATCACAGTGGGACTTTTCAATATAAAAAATATGCCTAACGCCTTTACTTGAACCACGTTTTAAATGATAAGTTCGCAATTTTCTACTTTGCTTAAAAAATAATGGTTTGGGGCTAATTTAAAGTCTTCAAAGGGCCCAGAACAAGATTTAGCAATTGTTAATCACAATAAATGTGTGTCGAGCTTAGGTTAAATTGAGTAACGTAATGAAACAGGGTGCTGGAATGATCTTTTCTTGAAGGGCTGGAGAGATACTGCCACATGGCAGCCGGCAATCATGGCCAACACTCTACTGGAGACATAATTAGCAGGGGCAATGGCACCCTGACACTGATCCACGTTGTCCTGGATACTCAGGGTCACTGAGCTGACGTGTTGCATTCTAGCATGGAGCAGGCTGGCTGCTTTAACACTTTAAAAGGGGGTGAAATGCATAAGTCCAGATTGAATGGCCCCATTCATTTCTGCTTCAGATGTATATTCAGGATTTTGCCTCTGCACCCCATTCGATACACTCAGTCTCGGTGCAGGCAAAACAAGACGAAGCATCTGTTTCTAGCAGCCGATGGAGGCAGAATGAGGTGAAGGGTGTCAGACCTGGAAGGTAGTTCTTTAGTTAGAAGCAATCAGAGTCTTGTGTCATAGATTGAATCAGAAAAACACGGATATCAGTCCAAGAGCTGCCTCTTAGTGCTGTGTGTCTATGAGCAAGAACTTACCTTCTCTAAATCCAGCTCCTCAGGAACAAAAGGAAAACACTAACTCCAGGCAAGATCATGACTATCACGCGGAGCTGGTTGAGCACAGCGTGTATTCAGAACAAACACACAAAATACTGACTTGCCACAAATGTTAACTATTAAATCCATATTTATTATTACAAATGAAAAATATGAAATATTTTCATTGTAAACATAACCTATTTAATCTGGTATTAAATTACTATCTTCAGGAGAGCTTCAATGAAAATAAACTGTGGCACTAGCCTCTCCTGAAGACCAAACAGTTCTTAATCCCACAAATGATATGTGTTTGGCAAGCAATTCCAGAAGATTCCAACCTAAAAATAACAACTAGGAACTAACACTCAGCCAGATTTTATACACAGTGTCCACAGAGCCACAAATTCCATAAAAAATTAAAAATGAGAAACCAGTAAGACGTCTCTGTTGCCATAACCCAAGTTAAAAATGCAAAGTTCAAAGGATGAAACAAACCACCCATCTTCCTGCCCTGGGGAAATGTTTGAAAGCTGGAAGTCCTGTAGGGGACGTCAGTGACTGGGTTCCCGCTCTGCTTTCATTTTCCTTGCCCCAAACCCTCCCTTTTTCTTTCTTTTTTTTTTTTTTCTTTAACTGAAAAATCTAGATTTACCCAATATGGAGGAATTTGCAGTATTCCTATGCTTCTGAAAAACTAGGGATGGCCTAGCACGCTTTCCTAAGCACCTCCATCTAACACCACCCCCAACCTCTCCCCTAGTCCAATTCCTGTCTTCCCACTGTTTGCTAAGCTTCAGCAAAACTTCCCAGTGCTCCCCACTGCAACTTCCTCCTTGCAGAGGTATTCAGAACCTGCAAGCCTCCGGTGGACCCTCCTGGCTACTCTTGCGCAGTCAAGGGAGCCCCCAGTACTCCCGCCTCCCTGTAGCCCAATTTTCTCTGAGTGTCTGATTTTTCTATCTACCCAAGAAAAAGACTGTGAAAAGGACTGGGTGTCACCTTATCTTCAGCTACTGTGTGCCTGTTGCCAACCCTTAAAACCTACATCCTTTTTCCATCCGCCCTCCTGGTACCATAAGCCAAAGATATGTGTTGTTGAATCACAGTTGACTACTTTAATTTCCTTGCAAAACACTATCTTAGGTGCTATCAATCAAGCTATTAAAGCGTTATCTTTCCTCCATAAGTTGTTTTTGCTTTTGAGACAGTGGTTCACTTTTTAAAAATATTTTATTTATTATTTCTATTTTATGTGTATGAGTGTATTGCCTGCATGTATGTGAGTGCGCCCATGTCTTGCAATGCCCATGGAGGTCAGAAGAAGTTGTCTGATCCCCTGAAACTGGAGTTACAGACAGTTGTTAGTCACCATGTGGGTGCTGGGAATCAAACCTAAGTCCTCTGCAAGAACAGCCAGTGCTCCTAACCGCTGAGCCATCTCTCCAGCCCCGTGGCTCATTTTTCATCCCACACTTTCTTCTTCTTTAATTCTTTTTAATCTACACTTTCTCTCAAACTATTTTATGCACAATCAAAATTCCAACCCGAAGAAGGTAATCTCACTTTTAATCTGAAGACTCTTTCCTTAATGTTGGAAACAGCCTTTTCTATAACTTTCTAATGCCTTCAGAGAGAACTCAAAACTCCAGCAATGCAAAGACACATTTGACACTTGGTGGTGCATGCCTTTAATCACAGTACTCAGGAGGCAGAGGCATGCAGATCTCTGTGACTTTGAAGCAACCCTTGTCTACATGTTCAGTTCCAAGCCAGTCAGGGCCCTGTCTCAAAAACAAAACAAAATAATAATAATAATAATAATAATAATAATAATAATAATAATAATAGTGTCACAACAATGTTCTACAAGAGAAAGTTTTGGAAGTATTAATTTCACTGTTGTGACAGTTTTTGAGTGTGTATTTTGCATTTCATAATTATATGCATTGAATCTGTGTCCCCTCGGCCTCCTTAGACAATAAGACCACAAAGGACAAAGAACTTCTCCACACAGGACATTAGCGGAGAATGCTAAATAAGCAGATGAGCAGAACAGAATTTGAGAATTCACAGTATTTAGGCGAGGAAAGCAGAGGCATTTCTGGGTCTAGAAAAGTATAATTAGAGACAAGAAGCCAGTGACCACCTGCAAACTTTCCTCCCGCTATGACAGGTGCTGCAAGAAGCTAAGGAACAGCAGGGTCTCAGCAAACGCACACACTGAATGACCGGACAGTAAATCAAGTAAGTCATGGGATCTGAGGAACTAGGGAATAGTGGAAGAGCTCTGTTGGGATCTTTTGGGTAGCTTAGCAAAAAAGGAAAGAGAGAGAGAGAGAGAGAGGGCGGGGGGGAGAGATCGTGAGTGATTGCTCACAAAAGGAAGCAAGCCAGATAAGCCAGATAGTTTATCTGCTAAATTAGATTGCCTTAGACGGGATCGATTCTAAAAATAATTCATGGGTTGGAGGGGTGGCTTTGAGGATAAAGGTTCCTGCCACCAAGCCAGATTACCTGTGGTAGATCCCAGGACCCACATAGTGGAAGGAGAGAACTGACTAGAGCAAGCATGTCCCCTCCCACCCCCACCTCTCAATAATAAGTAAATGTAATAAAACGTGTTAAGGAAAATTAAAAATGGCCCATCAAGACTGGTTTAGTAAGCATTCAGTTAAGAAAGAGTAAGAAGTCTCATGAATACCACTTATGACAGGGAAAGACAGACTAGGTTTCTAATTCTTTACATCATGTCCCAATTACAAATTGATATAATTTTGTGTGTGTGTGTGCGTGTTTGTGTGTGTGTGTGTCTGTGTGTGTGTGTGTGTGTGTGTGTGTGTTTTATGAGTAAAAATGCTGGAGTGTTCTGGGATGCAACCTCAACGTCCTCAGATCAGCAATGCTTCACAAAAGCTGAACAGGGTCACAGGACAAATCAATGCCAGCAAAGCAGGGGCTGCCGTTCTTGGCTTCTGATATTCCGTCCAATGAATAGCAATTTAAAGTACATATTTCTCATGCTATGAAAAGCAGATATTTTTATGTTATGCTGGATCTCCAACCCAGAGTCTTGTGTTAGTCAAGCACTCTATCACTAAGCTACAACCCCAGACTCTAAATTTAAACTCTTTTGGGGCTGGAGAGATGGCTCGGCAGTTAAGAACACTGGCTGTTCTTGCTGAAGACCTGGGTTCGAATCCCAGAACCCACATGGCAGCTTACGCATGTCCAACGACCACACACGTGCACACAGTGGCTTACGCATATCCCACCACCACACATGTGCACACAGTGGCTTACGCATGTCCCACCACCACAAATATAAACAAATGCATAAAAAATAGTGTAGAGAAACATTAAAGAATTTTATTCAAAAAAGCATACAAACTGAACAACTTTTGTGAGAAAATAGACTAAATTAAAGACCTGTCATATTTTGAGAGGCAGAAACAGGCAGATCTCTGTGAGTTTGAGGCCAGCCTGGTCTACACAGCAAGACCCTGTCTCTTGAACAACACCCCAAAAAAAGACCTTTAATGTAGTGTTAATTTTAAGATCCTCAAAACTGGGCTGGAGAGATGGCTCAGTGGCTAAGGGCACTGGCTGCTGTTGCAGAGGACCAGGGTTCAAATCCCAACACCCATATAGCAGCTAACAACCGTCCATAACTTGAGTTCCAGGGGATCCAATGCCTTCTTCTGACCTCCCAGGGCACTGCATGACATGGGTGCACTTACATACATGCAGGCAATACATTCAGATGCATGAAACAGAAAAATAAATCAGTTAAAGATTCTCAAAACCAGGTGGTATTTAAAAGAAGCTTGAGTCCAGGCCATTCCTCATTAACTCCTTCATCCCCAGATGAGTTCTACTTCATACCCATAGGAAATAAGTCAATGCAAAATTTTAGCCTATGACATGATGTAAGTTAACTTTAAGGGGGAAAAAATTAACTTTGGAATGCATAGCTGGAAATATTTCTTAGTGTATTTTTTAAAAAGAAGGATGTTATTTTTCCTGTTTGTACTGTTTTAGTTCTAGTTTAGTCCTTTCCAGACATCCTTATAAAATTACTCCCAAAGGAAAAGAGAGGAAGCGCATACCCCATCTCCAGGCTCACCTCTTCTCAGAGTCGACTGATCATAGTTTCGCTTTGTTCTGCTAATCACAAGCCAAAACTTCTTCAAAGTGTGCTGTTCGCTTTACCCTACAGTATATTTGAATTTCTTTTCATACAAGACTAGTGTTATGTTCATCCTCAGTTATTCATTGCAGGACACACATGTCCTAGCTTAATGAGGCATGCTTGGGGCCCTACTGGATATTTGTGGTTTCATTCATCTCTTTATGCAAAACTAAGCACATTTTATGTACAAAGCACGAAGCTGTTTGTTCAACAGTAGGCAAAATAGGTTACTCAGTTTGCTTTCCCAAGCTTGTATTCCAATTGAGGGAGGCAGTAAAGTTGTCTGATGGGTCATGATAATAAATTACACTCAGAGAATTCATTAGTTCAAGAGGGTGTGTGTGTGTGTGTGTGTGTACATGAAAGGATCACCTTGGTTTTGGGTAGAGGGTTGGGGAAAGTGTTACTGAGATGACATTTGAAAATCCAAAGGAAGTGAAGGATTCTTATTCAAAAGTCAGTTTCTTCCTAACGTGATGCCAAACCCTTCATTCCAAGTGAGTTCTTGCTTGCTGTGCTCACGGGGGGGGGGGGGGGGGGGGTCTCACACTCTTTTCCAGGGGGGGATGACTATCACTATCTTCCATGCCTCTGAGGAACCTGGAATGACTCTTGAGTTAAGAACTGGTTTGATTGCTGATCCTGACTTCATAGTCTCATCTCTACTGGCCAGTGTCCTTAGGAAGGTGCTATGCATGCTACTGGAAGGAAAAAATAATCATCCCTACCCTGCTGTGAATCCTGTGAACTACAGCAACAACTGGCCTGGCAAGATAAGCCCACCAGTGCAACAGCGGCCCTTCCTAGCATGGAGGCCATACCTGACATAGAAATCAGGCTTAGGAACCTGAGGCTAAACAAGTCACAGACATAGGGAAGAACCTAATACTAGTTTCTACTAAATACTTGTCATATTAAACTGACTCCTATGACTTATTGTTATACCCATAGATTAATTCATGTCTCAATTCTTACCACAGAAGTTTCCTTTTACAGTTGATGGTGATTAACACAGAAACTCACAACTGGCCAAAGTACAGAGAACAACAGGCTGCCGAGTGCTTATCCCTGAATAAGACACCAAACTTCCACCTCCCAAGAATTAGAGATCATTGTAGAAGGAAGGGAGGAAAGAATTAAGAGCCAGAGGGGGCGGACGACCACAAGGAAACAGAATTTTCCAGACAGCTGGTCGGTTACTCATATGAACTCACAGCAACAGTGACAACATGCACAAACACCATGTGAGCTCAAACCAGACAAAATCCCAACACAGACATGAGGAAGTGGGTAAGAAACCCAAATGAAAAATCTAAGGAAATTATAGCAACCAATCACCTCTGGGGAGAGCAGAGACAGTCTCTGCCAAGATTGGGACTCTTGTTATCATGTTAGGTAAACCAGGATCCAGTGGATGGGCCCACACTGAAGGACATTTGGGGTCATAATTAGACTCTATAGGAGATATATATATATATCTCCTATGAGAGAGAGAGAGAGAGAGAGAGAGAGAGAGAGAGAGAGAGACTATTCAATTGACTGAAGGCAATAAAAGGTGTGAGCAGGGGAGGGGATTTAAATACCATCAAATTATATTGAATAAAATTGGAAAAATTCAATTAAAAAAAAGAAGAAAAAGAACTATTTGACAAGTTGTCTCTCTAGACCCTGATTAGTATCTTTTTGATTTATTTGAGTAAGTTCTACATGAGAATGTTTTGATAAAATGAATAACCTACTTTGCTACTTTGCCCTTCATGTCACAATGGTATTCTCAGTAAGAATCTCATTAATTTGTACTTTGATGTCCTAAGTGAAGCAGGTTTGAAATTCATCCATGTTTAAGCAAAATTTCTCTGAAAGTAGCAAAAGCTTATATTGCAAATATTTGTTCATAGGATAAAAATATCTGGGGAGAGCATCTCTCAAGTCCTTTAGAAATTACTGTGTGGCCAGGCGTGGTGGTGCACACCTCTAATCCCAATACATGGGAGGCAGAGGCAGGAGAATTTCTGTTCAAGGCTAGCCTGGTCTACATAGAGAGATCCAGCCCAGCTGGGTCTACAGGGAGACCCTGTCTCAAAAAGACCAATAATTTAATTAATTAATAATTAATTAATTTTTTTAAAAGAAATTACTGTGTATATTACAAACCAAATATACTACATGGTTCCTTGTTAAAACCAAATAAAAACCCCAAGAACTTCTATTTGAGTATTTCTTTTCCTGAATTCTCACCCTGAAATACAGAGAGTGTCTAATACCTGACTATTCTACACATTACCTAGAGAATCTTTGCTAAAATATCACCCATCGTTCAATTGGCATTTCCGGAGCTCTCAGCGCCTCTTAAGTAAAGGACTTCTGGCAACCACTTGCAGCTCATCGTGTTGTTTCTAGTTATTTTATTGCTGGCTATCTCCCTGAGGAACTGGGTGTATGGAAAGTTTCAGACCTTAAGCGTACAGAGAGTGGGATGAGAAGAGACAACTGATTTATTACCTCCCACTCCACTATCCAACAGGAGAAATCCACTGCCATGACATTGGGAATTCTTTTGGCAAAGGCAGGAAAGGCAGTGGAGATAATACTGTATATGTAGCATATTTTTCTAAGTTTTTAACTCTTGAGGTCAAGTTAAAGATGGGGCTGGAGTAACTGCTCAATGGTTGAGAGCACTGGTTACTCTTCCAGAGGACCCGGGTTTGATCCCCAGCACTCAACACCGTAGCTAATAACCATCCATAATTCTAGTTTCAGGGGATCTGACACCTTTTTCTGGTCTCCACACACTGGTGCACTTACATACATGCCATCAAAATACTCATGCACATAAATAAATCAAAATAAAAATGTTTTTAAAAGACAATGATCTTTTCTTTAATGGACCCTGTCAGGTGTTCCATTTGATGGATGCCATCAACCAATATGACATTCAAAATTAAAAAAAAAAAGTAAACACATACCTGATGCAACATTTTATAGGTATTTCTGGAATTGAATAGAAGTCATATACTTTAAGATCTTAGAATGTGTGCACTATGGTAAATAAAAA